CCCCCGTGTGTGTGTGTGTGTGTGTGTGTGTGTGTGTGTGTGTGGCCATGACAAAGTCTCTTCTACATTATCCTTTTCCGGACACAGACATATACGCCCAAGCCCTCCAGGTTGGGGACTCCAACTGCATTAGCTGTGTGGGAGTCCAGCGATGTAACCATTTTGCCATCTGCTGGTCCTAAATCCCAGCTTTCTAAGTTTTTAGCTATATTTTGTTAAGCAGGTTCTGTAATTCCACTAAGCCTTCAGTTCTTCATCTATAAAATAGGAAAAAAAAAATTACATCTCAAGCTTCAAGAAAATAATACACTTAAGTGTTTAGCGTAGTTTCTTGTATGTACTAAGAGTCCAATAACTGTAAGTTGCTATTAATTAAATTGTGGAGGAGGCAAATTAGCAGATAATGGTCTAATAGAAGCATGAACAATGGGTTGTGAGTTACCATGGAAGGACTCAAAAGGGTGGTTGCTTTGGGCAGGGTCTTTAAGTATGAATAAGAATTTGCCAGGTGGAAAGGTAGAAAGGCATTGCAAGCAGAGAAAACCGAACAAAGGCCCAGAAGATGGACTATTGGGAAACTTCAAAAATAGCCTTGCTTTGGGATTGAACTCGCCTCCTTTCACGTTCCTGTGTTCCTGCCATGGGAATACAAGTGTGCTGGTTTGGCTCTGTTCCTCCTGGAACTTCTGTACCCTTCTTACTTTCAGTAGGTCTGTAGTTTTATTTCATTGCCCAAGGCCCAGCCCAGTTGGAACTCTTCAGTAACTACTCTCCAATGGGGACTAACAGATGGCATAGCGGTTAGGGCGCTGGACTTCCACATGGCTAACCATGGTTCGTGTCCTGGACCAGTGGCTTGAAACTCACCCCAAGTGCATGTGTGTGTGTGTGTGTGCCCAGGATCCTGGGAAGAGAATAGAGGAGAAGGGATTGCGGCGTGGGCATCCCCTCTAGGGAGGTGATTTCTCACTTTCCCTCTCACTGTTTCTGTCTCTTTCTCTCCAGTGAGTGCACATGCCCTAAGGCAAAAACCTCTATTAAAAAAACAAAAACAAAAAAACAAACCCTCCAACTGTTGGAGCCCTCACTGCTCTCTCTGCTTTTCCCAATTCCTTAGCACATAATTTCTTACTATGCATTTAGCAGTAATTATATGTTGTCTTGTTATTTAATTATCTCATCTATGAGTCTAGTCTCCCCAGTTCTCTCCCTCAGGGCAGGGATGGCATTTTCCATTTTGTATCTCACATAGAGTTGATATAAACTGTCAGCTCTCAGAATATGCTCAAATAAGGCCTGTTGACTGAATGCTTTGTGCTAATGGTGATTAGAGCCAAGAGCACTAGATCCCTAACATGGGATCTGCTGATTTTATTGAAAATATATTCACGGGGCCAGCAGGTGGCATGGTGGTTCAGGTACTGGACTCCTACATGGCCAACTGTGGTTTGAGTCCCAGACCTGGTAACTTGCTTTCTCATTTTCCCTCTCTTTCTGTCTCTGGTTAAATTAATAATAATAATAATAAATAAAATTAAATAAAAATAATTCTTATCCAAAAAAAAGAAAAAGAAAATGTATTCATTCTGTGTCCAGTCAATGAGGGCCTTCCCTGTTTGAAGCTAGTTGAAAGGTTTCAAAGGGTAAGACATTTGTCCTGTATATAAAATGGCATTGTGGGACCAGCAGGTGGCGTGGTGATTAAGGCGCTGGACACTCCATATGGATTAACACGGTTCGAGTACCAGACCTGGTGGCTTGTTTTCTCACTTTCCTTCTCTCTGTGTCTGTCTTTCTCTGGTCAAATGAAAATAACTGAATGAGTAAATAAATTAAATAAATAATTCTTTTTTAAAAAAAAGCATCGTGCAGGGCCAGCAAATGGTATAGCAGTTATGTCACTGGACTCTCACTTGGCTGACCATAGATCGAGTCTCAGACCTGGTGGCTTCAAAATCACACTGGGTGTATGTGCACGTATGCCCAAAATACCAGGAGGAGAATGGAGGAGAAGGGATTGCAGTGTGGCTATCTCCCCTGGGGGTGATTTTCACTTTCCCTCTCATTATCTATCTCCGTCTCCCTCTCTCTCCAGCAAACACACACACTATAAAGCAAAAGCCTCTTTAAAAAAAAAAAAAAAAAAAAAAAAGGAGAGACCAGCAGGTGGTGTATGTGGTGGTGAAGGGCGGGCGCTGGATTCCCACATGGCTGATGGAGGTTCGAGTTTCAGACCTGGCAACTCACTTTCTCCCTCTCTCTCTCTTCTTGCTCTCACTCTGTCCCTGTTTGGTCAAATTAAAAAAATAAATAAAAAAGATAATTCTTTTTTGTTTTTTTTTTTTTTTTGAGAGGTTTTCACCATAGGGCGCGTGCGCTCGCCAGACAGACAGAGAGAGACATAGAGACAGAAAGCGAGAAATCACCCCCCAGGGGGGATGGTCATGCTGCAATCCCTTCTCCTCCATTCTCCTCTCGGGATCTGGGGCATGCACGCAGATGCGCCCGGCATGAGTTCTAAGCCACTGGGTTCGGGACGCAAACCGTCGACCATTCTCATCACCGTCTCCCAAGCTCTGGGTTGTTGGATTGTGGCCCAAAGTCAAGTTGACTCAATCCCTCTACAAAGGGAAGCTGTCTGTCTTACCTTGGGAACCTACGGCCCAGATGTCTAGTTAATTGCCTCACGTGAAGTGAGCACATGCCACTGTGTACTCCACACCGAGTCCTCTATACGTTTGTCTCGCCTTTGTTTTTTTTAGACATTCTTAATTTGCACTCATCACTTACACGGGTTTATTTGGTGCCAGAGAATGGCTTCAGTATGTAGCAATTTTTAAAACTGGGTGTGGTCCTTGCCCTCAGAAAACAGTCTAGCAGGGCAAACAAAGTTAGAAGCAATTAAAATACAGAAAGATGCTTTATTTATTGCAGCATACCAAACACTCCAGTTTTTAGGAGCTTAAAACAATCATTTCATTATCTCTCACAGTTTGGCAAATGGACGGGGCTCAGCTGGGCAATTCTGCCAG